ATGATGGAAAATATAATTTTATTCATATCATCAAGGTGTTCTGTGCACATGTAGGCATTTAAACAAACGCATCTCATTAGAATCTGATTGTTTGCCCTCATATGCTTTTACCTATTGGTGGTTTGCAATCAATCCCTTGAGATTTACAAGACAAAGACACGGCGGCCGTGTTGCATGGAGGAAAACACGGTCCAAATGCCGATATAGCTGCTAATGATATTATTTTGTTAACGTTCTTCCAACATGGCCGCCATATATGATGTCAAGTGCAAACCAAGAATAACATATACCCAGTGGTAAAGTTTTGAATAGTTTTGCCAAGGGCTACTCAGGGCGGATTTCTCTTTCAGTACCTAAAACATTACTCCAGTACTATATACTGTAGTTGAACACAATGATTCAAGGGCATATAATATACACGACCCCTTGGCCTTGCCTTGTTTTCGGGCAGGCAAATGTTTTTAAAAGGCTTCCCATTAACGACCCTTCGCTATTGTGCTATCATTGTTGAAAAATGATTTGATGCTTCATCATATTTACTGCAAGGCAAATCGTAGCGTCCATTGCTTATCCAAAGGAAGCGTTTTGCATCGAGTTAAAATTGTACTAGTTGTAATAGTTGAACCATACATTACCGAAGACTGGAAGAATTAAAATATGCATGTCACAGAATGCAATTTTTCAATAAATCCGATTGAACCGCAGTGTTATTTGAAAAATATTTATCGAAGAAGAATTATGAGTTTTTCATGGTTACTTCGCTTCAAATAATAAAAATACCCCTTGTACATAGAGATTATAACAGAATATAGTGGGCACTGCGGGAAAAGTTCAACCTCGTATACCCAGGTTCTCAATATAGCTTCGCTCCTACTTCGCTTCGACCCGTCATAATTTGGCGGATTTGCTAATTTGTTTTTAGGGAAAGGATAGTAATTGAGATGTTTTGTTTTGTAATGTTATTTTAACAATATTAATGTTTACTACAATATCTACTTACTATAATTCCCCTAAAACAATTGAGCAAATCCGCCAAAATATGACGGGTCAGGTGACCAGCCGATACCAGGGTCTCAATTCAAGCGAGATAGGAGCAAAGATTGAGAACCTCATGGGTAGGAGGTTGGGAAAAGTTCAGGCGAACGATGGGGAAAATTGAAGCTTGCTAATGGGGGAATATTTGAGTTATACCCGGGTGCAAAACCAAGAAAATCTATTTTTAATCCTGTTTTTATCAACAGTCTTGACTGCATTTTTACATTTATCTGGTGGCGAAAAATTGAGGAATTTCCGTTTTATATCGTGGATATGAAAAAAGATTGGATCATAGTCTATTAAGATATGATGCTCTGGAAACTAAACAGAAATGTATGTTTTTGTCTGAGTTTATGTTAATTTGTGCAGGGTCACGGTGATTGAGCTCATTGTATTTTCGTATAATTTAGGCGCTGTTTATATGGTCTCGGGTACCAGGGACACCCTACACTCCGAGACAACATTACAGTGCGTTTATATGATAAAATTCAGAAAGGCATAACGGGGGAATACTCCGTTTTTTGTTCGAAATACTTCGTTTTTTGTTCGTTTATATGTTGTCTTTAATTATAAAATCATTATAATGTTTCTATTGAGCATGCGTAGGTCTAAAACGTTGCCCCTGGAGGACGAGGCAAATCAACGCAAACTGTTTACATGGACAAAAGTTGTCCCTCCTACAAGGGTAACCCTGTTTCGTAAACAGGGTGTCCCTACCGCCAGGGTGACCCTACCAGCCGAGACGAGTTGAAAACTTTCCATATAAATACTTGCGTTTAAATGTTATAAAATGAATGTAATTTTGCCTCTCCCAGGGTAGCTCGGGGGGTAGGGTGCATGACCCTAGTACCCGAGATCATATAAACAGCACCTAAGTAACCGTCCAATAGGGATAGCTAAGATGAAGCATGCAGCCACGATGAATAATATTTAATGTAGTTGAGACAAAGGATTTATGCACGGTGAGGTACAAAATTCAACATCAAACAAAGGTCTTCTATTTTGTAGCTTTGAAGTTTGCCAGGATTCCAGACCATCATATCTTTACAGACTTTGTTTGGACGTGGCGAAATCATGAAGAAAACACCGCACTTCAATATCGTAAAAAGCACATCAAAACATTTCTATAGTTCTATTTCTACACAAAACATGTTGTGTGCTAACGTCCAGGTATTCCTGTTGGTTTTGAGTTTCCAGACCTTGCTTGAACTATGGTCAAACTGTGAAAAATCGATGTTTTTCAAGTTGGATTAATAATTTTCGTAATTTCCCGCTCCTCCAATCTCCTCCTATATAAACATCGCGCTTTTGCATCTGGGAATGAGAATTTACATCCGGACAACGAAATTTAGTCAATCAGAGAGCGTTATTTTCCTCCATTAAAAGCTCTATGCTCTACACGACCGGTACCTATAGGAAGGTGCATTCATACCTGCGATATCCCGGATGGATTAAAGTTGGTTTTAGTTAAGTTCTGGTTCATTGTGTAATTAGCTGTTCCATTCCCCTGATCCGCAGTCTTGTTACCACCACTTGGAGGAATCATCAAATCATCGGTGAGTTCACCATAAACTAACGAACTTAGAGGTTGAATGAAACCATTAATGATAGCCAATGCTGTCCCAACAATCTTCAGAACTTTAACGACAGTTTTACGGAATTCCTGCCAAAACATGAGAACATAAATCTTTGTTAAAATGTAAAAGCGACTAGTATGTCGCAGTCACGTGTACCCGGATCATCTGGACCGTTATTGCGTGAAATGAAGTGCCCAGATCAACTCTAGTCAATGAACAACATGCCGGGTGTGAAAGCAGCCACAAGACGATACGGATCATTGGATTGAAAAGAAGCTCTTTTAATAAAACTTTTATTTGTAACGATTTCGTAACTCACCTCACAGAAAAGTTTCAGTTGGAAGTGCAGGTACAGGTACAGGACTGGTCTTCCTCACTCAAACAAAACCTCGTTTAATTAACAAAGTTACAATACGAATAGTGCAAAACACGTGCAATGATGCCAATGGAATTTCCGTTGCAGGGCCAGTGAAATGGAAAGTTTTACTCAATATCACGCGACCATATGTCAATATCGACAATTTACATTAAGAGGTGACATATAATTATAATTATGAATAATGCAACACTGTGGCCCAGAGGCTAGAATGTTCAAAGTTAATTAATAGGCCTTCTAAGTTTGTTTTTCACGGGCTATGGTCAGAGGAGCAGAACATCCTTCTTCAACACATGCATAAAAAATAATTTTGGATTTTGACCAATAAATGTGGAAATACTGTAAACTTAAACACGAAAACTAGGCTGAGGGGCCATAGCCCGTGAGAAACAAACTTAATTAAAATCCATTCCATTTAAGGTGGTCCAAAGTTAAAAACAGTGTTAGTCGTGACGTAATTACCGAAAGGTCTATATTAACAAAAATAACCGCCAACAATACTTCAACTACCGATGTATACTTTGGTGAGATAGCACTACTGTATCAACTATAAAAATCTGTCTACATGACTACATGGCTCGATTAATCGCACACGATTGTCATTCTGGCGTATGAAAATTACTGCTGACGTCACAATTCCTGTTAATTTAGTCTATGCTCGGGACTTTCTTTACGCATGTTCATCCAAGTTCATAAGCCAGAATAAGAATCGTATACGACAATCGTATCGTATTGTCCGCTGTATAGACAAGTATTATTAATGCATAATTATAATGGCTGCTGAAATAAGTACGTCAGTAAGAAAACCGTTAATTATTCAAAATGTTAAGTTTTAAATTCAACTACGGTATAATAATATTACGTACTTACATAATAATTATACACAGCTTGCGTTTACTTACCGATTTTGCTTTGTTCGCATACTCTGAGTGCATACTAGAATTCTACCCGTTTAATACCGTACAAACATTAATCACCTTTTACGTATCAAGTGATCCGCTGGGCAATTTCGTAGGCATACGACATGCATATATTTGCATGGTCCTGTTTGACGAAATTTACGCTCTATGATAAGATAAAACCATTTCTTAATCGAAGTCCAACACAACACAAATCTTGCCGTAAAACTGACGAAACCTCTTCACAAAATTCTCATTTCCAATCCAAGATGTTTTGATAATCGCGACAAACATATTACTATGTTTATAAGCAACAGCGACAGGTTGTTTAGAAATTCTTACCAAAACAAATATAGAATCATGTGCCTTTTTTAATACAGTGTTTTTGACAGGTTCCACAGTTCAGAACATGACGGCGCTCAGGAGAACACCTACTGATTACTAGGTTTACTAGAAATATATGCATGAAGCAACCCCTTGGCCTTGTCGCCTATATTTTCCAAACATTGATTTAACATGAAGTATTATAGTAATTAGCCAACACTGAACGCAGGCTCATGTTGTGGAGTCAAGCGTTGGCATGACAACATGATATCACAGAATGAAGACACAAAGAAGGTCGACGCAGCTAAAAAAGCGTAACGGCGTCAGTATTTTGATGACGAATTACGGTTACGCCAAAATCAAAGGAAAAAACAAGAAGTCGATCTTCTGTTTGTCTCTATCTTGGTCTATCAGTCAGTCATGAACAAATTTCACAGTTTTGTGAACATTTTGTCCTCAACATGAACTTTTTATGAACTACAAGAGTTTGTGAACATTTCATGAATTTTTCAAAACAATATGAACTATTTCCGGCATGAACTTTGATTATTACACTCCCTCAAGATAAATGTTGTAATATAAATTACCACAGTTTCGCTGTTAACGATTAATTTTTGATAAATTTATGAAAATTCCATACTTGAGTTGTCTACATGAACTTTTACAAATTTCATAGCCCGCGTGCAGGCCCAAGGAATCTGATAGTGGGCCTGCAAGCAAGGCCCGATATTTTGTACTTTCCGCGTTCGCCCACGAACGCGGCATTCTGATTGGCTGTTTGCTGTTGGATTCTATAATAAGATCAGTGATTCATCACAAAGGCTCTCGATAAGCAGTAAAATTCGAAAATTGATCGCTTTTTTCGATTATAAATGGAACAAGAACAGACTGTTTATTGTTTACTTGAAGGAAGAGATGTTTTTGGCGTTATGCCAATGGGGATTGCTTGTCGTGAGGTGTTGGAATAGCAACATTACGATTTACGACTG